TGTTTTTTCGTCTTTTCTTTTTCTTCTTCTACTCCTAATTTTTTTTTGTTGCTTCTTCTTTTCCTTTTTTTTCTATTTCTAGTTTTTTTAAGTTCTTTGATTTCTTTCTTTATTTTTATTTAGAGCTTCTATAAATTTGTATTATTTAATTGTATCATACATTTTTAGTTTAATTAGTTTAAATAAAATAATTATCAAAAAATAATAATAAAAATTTGAAGAAAAAGTAAAAACACTCACATGATGCTGAATTGGCAAAAGGGGAAATAAGAACCCATGATGAGGGGTATGAGGACGAGAGCTGCTACGGGAAGGGTGATGTGGCATCGCGGGAGAGGGGAATACCGCTTTCCTATGAGGGAATGGGAAAGGCAGGATCCCCTTCCCCTTTTTCCCATTCGCTTCTCCTTCCCTTATTTGAAAAAAATTGAAGGACTGGAAAAATTTGAAAAAATTAGAAAAAAATGAGAAAAATAAAAAGAAATAGAAAGAATTGCGAAAAACTAGAATAAAATGAAAGATACAAAAAGGAAAATGTTAAAATAAACACTCCTTATTATACTTTTGATATAACAAAAATGAAAAATAAAAAAATGTTGACATAAATATCATATTATATAGCGTATAATAGTTTACCATGTAGTTGTGTTTAATTGAATACATATTACTCCGTATTTAGTTATTTTACAATATAATTATGTTGAAATTGATTAGACTAATTATGTTTAAATGCACAATACTTTACATATTGCTGACAATACAAAGTAGATCAAATAAAATAAAGTATTAATTTTTTATTCATTCAAATTAATTATAAGCTATATTCTTTGTTATCCTATTTTTTACACATTTTTTGGTCATTTTTTCTTTTTTCATAATGTAGTATTAGAATTATTATTTTTAATTTTAATTTGAAATATTTATGTTTTCCCTAGATTAGTTTAGATTAATAAAAAGTAGTTACTTTATTCATAATTCTAAGAACATGGGTTAGTTAGTGTCAACTAAGTTTACAAACAAAGAAATTATACTATAAATAGAATAATAATAATAATAATAATAATAATAATAATCATCATCATCATCAAATGAAAAATTTATTATTTTTAGAGTCATTGTTTAGTGAAACTAGAAAAAATTTAAAAAAAAATAAGAATAGTTGGAGAAACCTTAAAGTAATTGGAAACAAGTGAGAAAAAACTGGAAACTAAAAGTTAAGACTTTAATGCTTCATTCCTTTTTTTTGAAAGCTTTAATGCTTCATTCCTAACATGTTGTATTGTCAATAATTTTTCCCACCCGTTCAATTTTACTTTTCTATTTTATTTTATACTAAACGGTTCTAACTTTAACTTTTTAAATTCGTAGCTCGAATTGTTTCATAAAATTTATCGTCAGATTTCGGTTTTCGAGACCAATCCAATGAGTATAATTTTTATAATAAAATATTAACATTAAATTTCTCTATTTTTCTCTAAGCAATATTCATAATGTATTTAATTTAAAACATAAACGCATTCCAATTTTTTTAGTCTTGCTGCATTTTAGTTTTTCTATTTTAAAGTGATGAGAAAGGAGGGTCCAATTATAACTGTGTTTTAGATAATTACTTTATTTTGCAGTGAACCTACACCATGAATTTTTAAACAATAAAGCACTAATATTAATGTTAAAGTATAAAGAACTCTTCTCAACTTACGAGGAGAAATCTAAGGTAACATTTCGTTCAACTTATTTTTTCTATTATTACTTATTCTTATTATAATCAAATCAGATTAAAAATAAATGTTATTATAATTACAATCAGATCATATTAGATCAGATGAGACCAAATCTTCAAAAAATCAGATCAGTTCAGGCGAATGGAATGCAGTCTTAGTTCCTGAATGTATTTCGAGTCCCTCTCGATTAAGCTAAGGGCGCCACTTCTGGGAAGGGACTTTTGAATCGGTTGTTAGCTAATAACCGATGCAAAGGCCCTTTCCATCTCTGGGGAATGGGCTTTTGCATCGGCTATTAGCTAACAATTTTTTTAAAACCTGTGCAGTTTGTATGACGCACCACCATTGAAATTTTGCACAAAGTTCACAAATTCTGTGCAAAATTTAAAGAACCATCAAAAACACAACCCAACAACAACAATAACACAAGCCAACAACACAATTATATTCACAAAACCAAATTAAAAAAAACCAAACAAATCAACAAAGTAAACACTTACATCACTTGTTCACCTAAAACCTAAAAACTATCAACATTTATAAGCTAAGCTATAACACCACAACTAAAAGTCATATACTCCGAGTAACAAATAAACCACACTTCTCTAAAAGTCATACAACCAATTCTATATTTATAATTCAAACAAATATATCCTGGTAAAGAGTTTGGTGCCTTTTTCTTCCTAAAAATCCCCCTTTCATGAAAAAACCTACTCAATATTTCGTTTAGATTACTACTAGAATTTTAAGATTACAAAACAAACAAAAATCCAAAACTAGAAACTTTCTCAACATTGCTTGTCCCCAAATCCTATCACTACATCAACACCAATAATTACAACCAATCCAAACAAACAACCCCTTATGCGAATGAAGAAGAAACATTAGGAAGCCCAATATTATCATCATTATGTAGACTCCCTCCCTCTATTTTTAATTCTTCTCACTTCACTTTCTTTATCAATGCCTTTAAACTTTGATTACAAATTACAAAAAAATACTTTATACGGAGTATTAAATTGTGATTTAAATTTAATATAAGTACATTCATTTTGAAATATAATTTTGAAATATTATCCCCTCCGTACAACAATAATATTCTCATTACACGTTATGATGTTTGACTGAAGTTATTTTCAAATTATTTTTTATGAAAAATCTTATGGAACTAAAAAAATGAAATTTACAAATTTAAAAACAACAAGAAAGTATCTACAAAAGTAGAGGTGGCATGACTATATATATTATTTTATCAACTAATTAAGCAACTAAAATACATAAACAAATTGGATGAAGTTTGATTTGTGAATAGTAAATGAGAACATTATTCTTGGACGAAGGAAGTATATTTTTATGCTCTCTCTGTCCCATATCAATCTTGTCATTTGATTTTTCATAATCTCCAATGCAATACTTTAATCATTATCTCCATTTATATGAATTCATAGACTATAAAAATATGATATAGCTATTAAATTTATCTTAAAATATAATATAATTTTACCATAATTCATGGTCAAAGTTATAAAAATTGAGCATAAAAGTCAAAGTGTAAAGAAAAATATTGGACAGAGAAAATAATACTCCCTACGTCTCATAAAGATATGGACATATTGACTAAAGTGGTAAAATAAGAAATGGAAAATTTGGTATTAATTTTTCAAAAATACCCTTGATGTGATGTGTAAAAGTCGGATGGGATGTACAAATTATTAGATAAAAGATATGATGTGTCAGGTATGGTATAATAAAGTAATGGGTAAAAAAAGTTTTTTAATAGGAATGAGAATGATTTTTGGAGAAACAACTTTTTTGAAACGTGAAGGACTTTTTGGGATGGAGGAAGTATATATACTCCACATCTATCTAAAAAAAGATATTGGTCGTTAAAAAATTACATTGAAAATCGTGAAAAGTCACATGGAAAAAAATCAAAGTGAATAGGCTCAATAGAGGGACTGATGGAGTATATTTTTAGAAATGGACTAAGAATGAAATAAGGTAGAGGGTATAATCACAGTAAAAAAAGATGAAGAAGATAAAGGGTATAATTATATTTTATATCCATTTATCCACCATTTGAACAGTAAAAAAATGAGGAATTTATCAAAATAGTACTAAAACATACTGATCAATTGTTTTTATTTTTCAATGTAATACCATTATTCAATATTCACTTGTCATTGTTCTAGTAAATGTCCAACATCATTGGACATTGTTCAAACTAAGTATCCACCATTGCTGGACATTGTTCAAACTAAGTGCCACCATTGCTGGACATTGTTCCCACCATCTACTTTTACTTATCATATCTAAAGACACTTTTGAAAAGTCAACAAAAAATATGCTTCTCTTACATCCCTTAAAATTCAAAACAAAAAATATTTTGTGTGACGGAGGGAGTATGTTTTATTACTCCGTATTATATAGTGAAAATATGAAATTTTACAAAAATATACTACCTCCGTCCCAGAGTATTTGTCTACTTTCATTTTTACACACCATCCAACACACTTCTTTAATCCATTTTATCTTGTAATTTGTATATTAAAAAATTATAGAAATTATATATTACAGAGTAATAATCTATATGTTAAGACAAATCAAACAAGATCACACATGACTATATTTAGGCTTACACATTGAGAGAATTTGATGAATCAAAGTGCTTAGATGAACAATTCCAAAAGTCAAAACTGGACGAATACTCCAGGAAAGTATGTGTGAAGACGTGCAGTGTCTATTCGGCATTAACTTTAATATTTAGCTTTACTCTGATTGTTACCGAAATTTGAGAAGTGCGTGTGGGATTAAAGGGTACGAACCAATCTATGATCGAACAGATCCAAAGCCCGACATGTCCCTTAAATGAACCAAACGTCATATTATATGACCTTCGAATTTAGTGTCAAAAGAACCCAGCCGGAAAGTTAACTACTACCTCCGTCCCGTGAAACATTTCCCCTTTCTTTTTTTATCCGTCCCACAAAATACTTCTCATTTCTATTAAAAAGTCACTTTTACCCCTTACTTTTTCATACCCTAACTATCACATCATACTTTTTTACTAATAATCTATCCATCAAATCATACTTTTACTCATCACATCAAAGGACATTTTTGGAAATTCAATACCAAAATACACTCCCTTAAATCCCTCCTAAAAAGCAAATGTCCCATGTTTCACGGGACGGAGGTAGTATAATGTCTTAAAGGCAATAAACATTGATAACCATTATAGACACTAATTAATTTACACTAATTACAAACACGGTTCTAAAACGAACCATAAATTTATTTAAATATCACATGAAAAAATCAAATAGATTGTGCAGAAAAAGGTAACAATTTCAACTCGCTTTGCAAGTATTTATTCCAAGCTAAGGTTTTGTGAATTCAAAAAACAAAGACGAATTCAAACAACAACAATCCCAATTGGTGAAAAGGTTTGTTTATAAAGTGGATGGTTGCACATTGAATTGATTATTTCATTCAAAACCATTGACCGTGAAACCACCATCAACGACAATTACCTGACCGGTCACATAAGAGGCCGAAGGAAGACAAAAGAAAGCAACCACTGATGAAACCTCTCCCGGTTCTGCTAGTCGCCTCATGGGCGTCCGAGATGCCACCTTCTCCGCAAGCTTTTTGAGTCCAGGGGCCTACACGACCAGTTATATCATATCTAATCAGATTAGATTAATCTAAAAAATTATTAAAAAATAATGTTAATCTCTTCATCCTATTAAATATTGTTCATTCTGTCTTCGAAAAAATTTGAAAAATGTGTAGAAATGATATTGAAAAGATGTTGATATTAAATAGTGGCTAAAGGTATTGAAAAGAAAACATTAGAAGAGAAGAATAAATGTCATACATGTTCAGAAAGAGAGGATCTGATCACCCAAGGAGCCACACAATTGACCCTGATGTTATCTTTTGCCCATTCACACGCCAAATTCTTTGTGAGTTGATTCAAAGCCCCTAGGAGGGAGAAATCAAGTCAAACTATGTATTAATCTCACAAAAAAAAATATACAACATACCAATATATGTATACGACAAATTATTTGGGAGACTTACGTTGTTTCATTTCGTAAAATTAACAATACTTACCTCCTAACCCCCGCCCCCCAAACCCCTCAGCCCCCCTCTCCACTCCCCCAACACCCTCAGCCCCCCTCCTAGATCGCGATTGGTAGCAAGATTAAGGTCATGTTTTCTTCAATTTATTTGTACTAGTTATTACTCTGTATTACTTTTTCTTATTGAATTGGATTCAGTTCACTTCATTACAGACCACATTAAAACTCATTTCAATATGATCAGAGCAATTCAAATTAGGTGAAGAGAACGTGGCCTATGGCTGAAAGAGCAGCAAGATTAAGGCTCTCACACACACACACGCGCACACACACACGCGCACACACACACATATATACTCCCTCCGTGCCATAAAGTGTTACCCATTTTGGCTAAAGTTAAAATTAGGGGGGGATAATTTTGTGTTGACTTTCCAAAAATACCCTTGATGTGATGGGTAAAAGTAGGATGTGATGTGTGTATTATTAGGAAAAAGGTATGATGTGATAGGTAGGGTTTGAAAAAAGTAAGGGGTAAAAGTGGTTTTTTAATAGAAATGGGTAAGGGATTATGGGACGCAATTTTTTTGAAACGTGTAAATCTTTTTGGGACGGAGGGAGTATATATATATATTAAAAATAAAAAAGTGACATGCATATATACCTTTGGAAGCAGCATAAATGGATCCAGCAAAAGACAAATGCAGCAAGCCAGCAACAGAGGAAATGAAGACGATGGATCCAGAGCCGGAAGCCTTGAGAAGAGGGTAGGCGAGTTGGGAAAAGTGGAAAGAAGACTCTAAGTTGGCAGCCATGACATAAGAGCATTCTTCCTCACTACACTCCGTCGTAGGTTTCCCGATGAATGCCCCGACAGTGTTTACCTGCACACCCATATTACTATCTTTGTTTATGTTTGTGACTAAAGTTCAAGGAGAAGATGTCAAGTCTGTTTCCGGAGCGGTAGTTTGAAAGTTATATTATTTGTAATAGCTTTTTGTGCACACTCAGCACGATGCGGCATCTCTAAAGATCAGGCTGGGGTGTGGGGGTGCCGAGGTGGGCGTTCCACCTTTTTTTGTTCATGTTTGTGATTTGAAGGTTTAAACATACTTCCCCCCCTTAAACTCTTTCTCCTGTCTCTTTTTCTTGTACCACGGACTCTTTCTCTTTTTCATTAAAAAACACATTTACCTCTACTAATTTATACCCTATGTATCATATCATGTTTTAATTTTTACTAATAACCTATCCATCACATTTTATTTTTAACCATCACATCTATGATATTTTGGAAAGTCAACACAAAAATATTTCTCCCTTAAATTCTCTCCACGCCCTAGTATATATAGACTTCCTCCGTCCAATCAAGATGTTCTCATTTTAATTTTTAAGAAATTTAAGGGAGAAATATTGCCCACGGGTTTTTAGAATATAGTAAAGTGCACGGGAGTTATTACACACGGGTTTTTAGGTTAATTTCATTGATTGAATATGTGGGAGTACATGTCTATATATACACAAGAAGTCCTAATCCTATACAAGGTAGGAGACAATAATAGGAAACAATATATTCCTAATCCTATACAAGGTAGGAGACAATAATAGGAAATAATATATTTACATTAAATATAGAATATATTTAACATGCTCCCGGCTACGTCGGATGAGGAGGGGGTCTGATACCCAGACTGGACTTAAACTCGAGGAAGAGTAGAGAAGGTAGTCCTTTGGTGAAGATGTCAGCATACTGTGAAGAAGAGGGCACATGAAGGACTCGGATATGGCCGAGTGCTACTTTGTCTCGCACAAAGTGTATGTCGACTTCAACGTGCTTGGTGCGCTGGTGTTGAACCGGGTTCGATGAGAGATAGACGGCGCTAACGTTGTCGCAGAAGACGAGGGTGGCGCGTCGTAGAGGTTGCTGGAGCTCAAGAAGAAGATTTCGGACCCAAGATGTTTCAGCAACTGCATTTGCCACAGCCCGATATTCTGCCTCTACGCTGGAGCGGGAAGTGGTGGCCTGGCGTTTTGAAGACCATGAAATCAGGTTGTCGCCCAGGAAAATACAGTACCCGGAAGTAGAACGTCTCGTGTCGGGACAACCCGCCCAATCAGCATTAGAAAAAGCCTGGAGATAGTCTGTCGAGGAGCGAGTCAGGTAGATGCCGTGGGTGGCAGTGCCGCTAAGATAACGGAGGACTCGCTTCATGGCCGTGAGGTGGGAGTCGCGGGGCGCATGAAGGTGAAGGCAGAGCTGCTGAACGGCATAAGTAATATCAGGTCGGGTGAATGTGAGATACTGTAGAGCACCAACGATGGACCTGTAAAGAGAAGGATCTGGAAGTGCCGTGCCGGAGGAGGAAGAAAGCTTTGCCTTTGTGTCGACCGGAGTAGATACGGGGCGACAAGAGACCATCCCTGCCCTCTCAAGGATGTCGTGAGTGAACTGCGTCTGATGAAGGAAGAGGCCCTGAGCAGTGCGACGAACATTAATGCCGAGGAAAAAATGCAGATCACCCATGTCTGTCATGGCAAACTCAGCCTTGAGTTTCTGAATGAGGCTCTGAAGAAGTCCTGGCGAGGAGGCAGTGAGGACGATATCATCAACATATAATAAGAGGTAGGCGGTCCCCGAGGCATGCGTGAAGATGAAAAGGGATGTGTCAGATTTGCAGCTGCGAAAACCAATAGTCTGAATGAAGCCTGCAAATCTGTGATACCATGACCGGGGTGCCTGTTTCAGACCATACAGTGCTTTCTTGAGCCGGCAGACGTGATGAGGGCGATTTGCATCCTGAAATCCTGAGGGCTGGCTGGCATACACGGTTTCCTGAAGCTGTCCATGGAGGAAGGCATTTTTGACATCTAGCTGATGGATGGGCCACCCACAAGACAACGCGAGGCTAAGGACAAGTCGGACCGTGGCAGGCTTGATGACGGGGCTGAAAGTTTCGCTGTAGTCAACACCAAAACGCTGATTGAATCCGCGGACCACCCATCGGGCCTTATACCTGGATAACTCACCGGACGGGTCAAATTTGTGTTTGAAGAGCCATTTACCGGTGATTATGTTTTGGTTGGGGGAGGGGGGGTACTAGTTCCCATGTGTCATTCTTTAACAAAGCATTATATTCATCACACATAGCAGCATGCTAGTTTGAATCTTTCATAGCACTA